AAGTACTATATGTGTACTGTATGATAGTGTGGGTATGTAATGTACAGCAAGGTCTTGGATTGAGTTTGTATATACAACTCGTATATACAACTATATTTTTTGTTATTGTAATCTACAAAAGGTAGCTTTAATGACTCAAATATGAGGTGGATAGGAACAAGGCTTTCTAAGCGCCAGCATGATTTCACACCACTAATCTTTTACAATTTTGTCAGACTTAACGCTGCAACTCTTTTTATTGTATTTATTTTTTTGCTGTGTGTGTATTTTGGCTCTAGTCGTACTAATCGGAGACTCAGGAGTGGGGAAGAGTAACCTGCTGTCCCGTTTCACAAGAAATGAGTTCAACCTGGAGAGCAAGAGCACCATTGGGGTGGAGTTCGCCACCCGCAGCATCCAGGTGGATGGCAAGACCATAAAGGCTCAAATTTGGGACACAGCTGGACAGGAACGCTACAGAGCAATCACCTCAGCGTCAGTTTGTTTTTTAATTTGTCTGCAGTATTTTCCAGTTTTGTGATTGCCGGGTTATTTAAAGGGTAATATTCCCTTAGGATGTTGAATTTCATGCATGCAAAGTCAGTACATTCTTATTAAGTAACCTATCATGACGCAGTTCATCATATTTTGTAATTTTTCCAGAGCAGTAAACATGCAGATTAAACTTCAGTTACATACAAAAACTGCAGTCTTAAGGGTTTATGTCTGAAATTATTAGCATTACGAGTGATTTCACGATAAATCTTACAAATTTGGACGTTTGCTATCCTCGGAATAATGTGGTTGGAAATATTGCAGTAATTCTTAATTCATTAACTTCTCTTCTTTGCTCTGGCGTCACCAGGTATTACCGGGGTGCTGTTGGGGCTCTGCTAGTCTACGACATCGCCAAGCACCTGACGTATGAGAACGTTGAACGCTGGTTGAAGGAGCTGAGGGACCACGCTGACAACAACATTGTCATCATGCTGGTTGGAAACAAGAGCGACCTCCGACACCTCAGGGCAGTGCCCACTGATGAGGCTCGGGCCTTTGCAGGTAAATTAAATGTTGCAGTCGCGTTAACGCTATTGCATATAAAGTAGAGTCATGCAATTATAGTTGAAGTTTTTAAACAAATCTTCAGTTTAATCATAATACACAAACCACTTATTTGAAGAATATACAGGTTACTGTCCTATCTATCTATCTGTCCTTGTTAGCATACAGTCCCCTCCAAAAGTATTGGAACGGGAAGGCAAATTCCTTTGTTTTTATTGTTCACTGAAGACATTTGGGTTTAAGATCAAAAGATGAGAATGAGACAAGAGTTCAGACTTCCAGCTTTTATTTCCTGGTATTCACATCTAGATGTGTTAAATATCTTAGGAAATATCACCGTTTGTATTAGACCACAGCTGGCTTAGGTGAGCAAAAGTAATGGAACAAATAATCTTAAAGTAAATAACATTTAATAGCAGCTTCTTTCAGTTCTTGTTTTTTCGGGGTGTTTCTCCCTTCAGTCTCCTCTTAAGGAGGTGAAATGCATGCTCTGTTGGGTTAAGGTCAAGTGATTGACTTGGCCAGTCTAAAACCTTCCACTTTTTCCCCTGATGTCCTTTGTTGTGTTGGCAGTGTGCTGTGACTCATTGTCCTGCTGCATGATAAACGTCCTCACGATTAGTTTCAAAGCATTTCTCCATAAATTGGCAAACAAAATATTTCTGTACACTTCTGAATTCATTCTGCTGCTACCATCATCAGTTACATAATCAATAAATATTAATGAGCCTGTTCCAGAAGCAGCCATGCACGCCCAAGCCATGACATTACCTCCACCATGCTTCACAGATAAGCTTGTATGCTTCAGATCATAAGCATACTTTGATTCCTTCCTTTCTCCACACTTTGGCCTTTCCATCACCTTGGTAGAGATTAATCTTGGTGTCATCAGTCCATAAGATTGTGTTCCCAAACTTTTGCAGCTCATCTCTGAACTTCTTTGGAAATTTCAGTTTGGCCTTCCCATTCTTCCTGCTGATGAGTGGTTTGCATCTTGTGGTGTGGCCTCTATATTTCTGCTCTCTGAGTCTTCTTCCAACAGTGGATTGTGATACCTTCACCCCTGCACTGTGGAGGTTGTGTGTGTCAGTGTGGGGAGAAGAGAATTCCAAGGCAGGTGCAAAGCATACTTAATACTTAAGCAAACAATAAGAAGAATGCTTGTGGTCATTAAAACCTGCTTAGAAAAGGGGGGTATAATGTGAAAATTTGAGATTTTTCTTTTGCTGGGGGGGTTTTACAATCACGATGCCGGCTCAACGTCGTGATATCTGTCAGCCATCGCCGATGGACGATGGCATCGTCTATCAGCCCAACCCTAGTCCTGAGTTGTTTAACACATCTAGATGTGAATACCAGGAAATGAGAGCTGAAATTCTGAACTCTTGTCTCAAACTCATCTTTTGACCCAAATGTCTTCGGTGAACAACAAAAACAAAGGAATTTGCCTTACCGTCCCGATACTTTTGGAGGGGACTGTACATTTAAATTGCTTTAATGTGTAAATCTTTTTCTCATCCTCAGAAAAGAACACTCTCTCATTCCTTGAAACCTCCGCCTTGGACTCCACTAATGTAGAAGAAGCCTTTAAGAGCATTCTCTCAGGTAGGAAAAGTTATAAACTGTTCCATGTAACACGCAGCTAACTGTACATCCTGTAGGTAATGTAACATTCCATTTTACTGAACGCTCGCTGTCTTCTCTCACAGAAATCTACCGTATTGTATCTCAGAAGCAAATACCGGACAGATCTGCACACGATGAGTCTCCAGGAAACAATGTAGTGGACATAAGCCTCCCCCCAACCACGGACGGGCAGCGGGGCAGCAAACTCCCTTGCTGCCAAAGCCTGTGACGCTCTTATATTCTTTTCCCTGTGTGACTTTCTGTCAGTCTTTCCTCTCTTCATCTCTGGTTTACTTCAGCTGTCATGCTGTTGTCATCATGATACCCTCATGACTCCAGACTCTTGTATCTGACATTCCTTTTTGTTGGTTTCTTTCTTTTTCTTTTCTCAGTTCATTTGTCTTCCTCTGATCTGAGAAGAGCCCGTGTCTAAAAAAAAAAAAAAAAAAACGTAACAGCCTCATGATAGCCTGGAGAGGGAGGAAGTGTTTGTTGTTATGAGGTTGATCCTAAAGCTGTAGTAAATACAATTTCTTTTAAATGAACTAGCCTTCGTGGTCCTATTGACCCACTCCTGATGAAGGGATGGTGAGGGATCAGTGCTTCGGGCTGTCTCTACTTGCCTCTTTTTCTCAGACTTGCTACAGTGGAATCCCAATTTCATGTCTGGTTGACCTGATTCTGCCTATCATGCAATACGGGTGTAGAAGAGGAGATGGAGCAGAAGGTGCCACAGGAGTATTGATTGCCTCTTTAATATTAATTTTCCTCTTTGAGCCCTGTGTCCACTGTGGCATGAAATTAGCATGAGCCAGGGACCAGACTGGCTGTGACTGTCTGACTTAATGTGGGCAAGTGTGAAACAAATTGTTTTTATTTTTGTGTGTGTGTGTGTGTGTGTGTGTGTGTGTGTGAATGTGTGTTAATCTTAGTGCACAAAGATACCAAAGGAGACTGATGCAATCATGATCAGTTTTAGGTTTTCTCATTTAAGCGTGTTCAAGGCTGCTAATATTGCATTCCATTGCTATATTTGGCAAACCAATCTGGGCTATTTGCAAAAAAAGGTTTTCTGCTATATAGCAAAAGGAATGTTCATGTGTGTTTTATTTTATTATTTGTGAAATAGTGGCATCAGCCCGGATCAAGCCTTGTTTTCCTCTCGAGTTTGCTCAGGTCAATCTCTCTTTCAGCACGCCGTCTCAACATGAAAATCTTTTTTGCACTTATGTCCAATAATTTCAGTGGAACAAAACACCATATTTTTGAAATACACTCAACATCTTTATAAAGGAACATTTCCTGTTGGTTGAGAAGAAAAAACTGCATGATACGTTGTGCTTGTTTTCTTCTTTCTCTAACGTTTTCCTCTCATGTACTCAAATCAACCTATGCTGTCATTCGAACGGGGCGCACTTTAAAGGGAAATGGAAGAATATGTGAGTTATATGAAATGCTCTTCATTTATCACTTTCACTGCAGCTACATTAACAGTTGTTAGTTGGGGAAGTGGAACTGAAAGTCAGAAATGCAAATTGGTGTTATGGTTGACTGAAATGTCCCCTTTTCACTCATCTGTTAGAGATGTTTTCACGTGTGACTGATTCGATACATCTTGTAATATTTCACATTTGTTGGAATATATGTAAAGGCAGCAAATGTAAACAGAAAATATTGAAGCACAAATCTAATTCACATCAACATATAGCAGACAGACTTACTTTTAGATACGTTGCTCACTTAGCGTATCTTCACGTTAATGCTGTGTCCACCACTTCTGTTTAGCAACTTAGGAATCAACTGACGGATGGTCCTAACCATCATGTGTAGATATTTAATCACCTTAAACAATAGAGGAACACATTTTACAGCATCTAATCAATGCCTTGTGTGCTCAGGGCAGGCCCCTTAAACAAGCGGGTCCTCATCCTCATTCAAACTTAGCAATGTGAATGCATTTAGCACTGCTTAATAAATAAATAAATATATATAAAAAATCTGTTAATCAGTGAAGCGTTGTTTAAAAAAACGCTAAATGTACATTGAAACTAACATGGTCAGCATTTGTAATGAGGGTTAATTAATTATTCAAAATAAATGATTTAATAATTAAAAATGAATTGCTATGCATTTGTTTGAACTGCCGTTTCCAGGACTGTAAAATAAAATCTGTCGACATTTTCTGACGACTTTGTCTTTTGTTTTTTGGGCATTTTCTGGTGAAATGTAATGAATTATAGAAATCATGTAGTCCCTGGTCTGTTTGTTTTTGTTCTGGCCATGTGATGTTTTCGGTAAGCGCCCCTCCCTTTTGCAATAAGCTGCTGTTATTCATAATTACATTTTAAGTCGTCTGCCCTGTCTTTACAGCAGAGGCAGACCGCTGACGACGAGCCTCCGGGGTATATTTAAAGCCCTGGGAAAGCGGAAGCCCGGCCTGCTGTGTGTGTTATCAGCTCAGGGCTGCTAGCTAGCACAGGGCTGAGTAGCATATCAGCAGCTAGCAAGTGGCACTGCTCTGTGACCAATGCTTTTAATTCACACATCGCTACGGCTGAAAATGAAAAGCAGAGGAAAGGCCAGGTTGTTAGGGCGGTTAGTGTCAGCAGCTGTGGAGCATCTGTAAGAAGAAGACACGTGGTGAGTGGACCTTTTTAAGCCTTATTTGTACAGTTTACTAGCTAGCAGTATTGTAGCTGCTGACAGCTGGCAGCTAGCAAACAACACAGCTGGAACGGGCACCAGCGGACCATGGTTATTTACTGGACAATGAAAATGGGCTGCAAATAGATATTGATAAAAGAAATAACAATGCTGGGCAATTGGTGCAAATGTCTTAAAGTGTCACTACAGCATGTTTATACCCAGCTACTTTCTACCGCACGCAGTTTCAGGGTATTACTATATTTATATGATGCAAGCCTCTATTTCCAGACAATAGTCTGGATCAAAACTATCAAAACAGCTGGATGCAGTGATAACAGCTGCAGTGCTTGTCACAGTGGAAATTAAAAGCACTTTAGTTTGTTAGCTAGTTGCGTTTTTCATGGCATAATGTGTCTGCACTATTTTAAAATGTACCCCAGTTACAGTCACATTGACATGTATGATTGAAGAGTTTGGCTTAAAAATGAGCTCTCAACTGATGATCACATGTAAAAATACATCGGCCTGTTTTATAGATGCGGTGATGAACAGTACATCGCTAGCTTTTTTTCTTAGTTTTGGGGCTACTCTTTTGTTGATCAGGGTCAGGGGTTGTGGCTGTATCAGTATGCATAAATACCAAGCTGTAGTGCTGGAACCGTTTGCCACTGAGTTGAATGGGTTAAGAGGTCATCTAACAAGGTTCAGGCCTTCAGGCTTCACCAAACATTTGCAGTTCTGGATAACCAGCCTCACAAAGCAGACTCTGTTAATGACAATCCAAGCGTGAGCAAGACTACGTGACATTTTGTATTTGTTACAAACAGTTATGGTAACACTAAAGTTTGAAGGGCTGCATGTTTAATATAACAGACAAGACAGCACAACACATGAGTATATTAGATCATTGTAGTAAAAACAAATAGGCAGCAAGGTAAAAGTTGTAAAGGATAAGCACATGACTAGAATATAATAAGTGGAAAACTAATACATTAGTCAAATTCTAAATGTTTTATATAGTTGGAACATCTTTGGCACAGTGTCAGCAAACAACACAGCTGTAACAAACCATGGTTATTTGCTGAACAATGAAAATAGACTGCAAATGGATATTGATTTTAAAAAATGACAATGGAAAGAACTTGGGAAATTGATGCCAATGTCTTAATATGTCACTGCCACATGGTTATACACAGCAACTTTATACCAAACGCACTTTCAGGGTATTCATCATTTTGACATGACGTAACCCTTATGTTACACCTATAAAAACACCTATACTAATTATTGAGGTCTGTTTTAGACCTAATTAGACAAGATTTTATAGACATTATACACATGTAATTACCGCTCTTTTGGGAAAACAAATTCTTATTGCGATTATTTTGACTTATATTGTGGTACAATTTGCTAATAATAATAATTTTGTATAATATCAATTGAAAATCCAGAGGGGAGGTTTTATTATAAGCCCTTGGGGGTATCTTACCTCTCCTGCATAATTCATACAGTGTATTTTTTTAAATATATTTTATGTCTTTGTGCTAATAAAATAAATAAATAAAATTTTCGATATTAGAGAGAATGATCACTATTACATATTTTAATCTCATTTTCATTGAAAAACATGTTTGAATGATTACGGTGTGGTTTTTGCAAGAATATGAACCAGATAAAGATGTTTTCTTAAGTCTGTAGAATATCATGTGTTGGCCAGGACATCTCTGCAGCACAAAAGTATTTAATTTTAAATAGTATTTTGACACACATTTCGCCTTACAGCAAGTATTGCACCTCCATTGGCCATGTTGCAGTTTCGATAAAATTTCGATGAATTGTACAGCCCTGCCACTCATTTTGAGCTCAGCAAGGTTTTTTTTTCTGCACCATCTGCCATGTTAAAGCCTCTGTTTAAAAACAACATGACAACAACAGTGTTGAGTACATAGGATTATATATATGTGTGTATGTGTTTGGGTGTAATCCTGTGGTGGTTCCCGAGCCACGCCTTCTATTAATAACAATGACCCAGTATTTACGTGTGACCAATAATCTGATATGAATGATCAAATGTAGGCTCAGTGTGTGTCCGCTGTCTTGTGTCATATACAGTGTTTCAGTGTTTATGTAAGTTGCGCACTTAAATGTAGTTGTGCTGACATTATTGAAATGGTGAGTAGCTCATAGTTTGCACCCATGTCAGACATAGCTTTGGTTTTAGAGTGTCCAGTGTCAATAATAATATAACACTTCAGTAATATCCATTTGCATTGGTATGTCGCTGCACAGAATCATTCCCACACAGCAAGACAAATTTACTACTGGCTGTAGCAGATTCAGCAGTATGCCTCTTATCTTTAGTGAAGGTTTATCTGAGGGGAGACAGCTGTTTATCAGTCTGCTGCACATCACACTCACTGACACTGACGTATACACTTGCTTTTATAATGGATTAGCAGCTGTGCTTCGGCAAAATTGGCCCACCTCCAAACTGACGGCTTTCTTTTTTAAATGGCAAAATGTCACTTTAGTTATTCTCACGTGGCAGGAAATGAATGGTGCATGGAGCACACTTTCAGATGAGCTCAGTCATAACTTACTGCTAAGTGTGCCTAGAACTAGACTGTATTGACAAAATCCTAGTTATACAAAATCCTAATATTTTCACTATTAAGTAGTAAGTAAAAATAATAGTAAATATTTTTACTGTTGATAATCCTCTCATCTTGAACAGCTCAACACAATACTGTTAAGTTTAGCTGCAAGGACCAGCAAGACAAACTAACTCTATTACACTGTAGTATAAATTATATACAAGCATACTATCTCTTGACTCATCATATTTTAATTTTGCGGCAGCTTGCCTCAGTTTCCGAGTGATATTATACTGTTACTGTAATTTTTTACTACTTTTATATTAATAAGATTGTTAATTTTATATTTCAGCGGCGGAGATAGCAATACCACAGTTTAAAACTCAGTTACAAGTAAAAATCCTGCATTCGAAATGTGACTTTATTAATTAATATCAATATAAAAATGTACTTAAAAGTACCAGAAGTAAAATTACTCTCTCTCTTTCACTTTTGTAGACACTTACTTGTGGAGAGCAGAGTTTGTGCTTCCTGCTTCGCCCCTGAGACCTTTACACTTCACCTCCACCTCTACGGCCGGTGTTGGGCCACTTTAACCATGACGACAGGGGGGTGTTGCCACCTGCCCGGATCTCTGTGCGACTGTGCGAGCAGCACTGGCCTGTGGAAGAACGTGGAGGAAGCAGGTGGTGACGGGTGCCCGGCGCTCTACGTCACCCAGGTCACAGCCATAGATGGACGGCTGCTCTCCTCCGTGCTCAAACCCGTCGGCACACAAAGGTAAGACACGCTTACACTTCCGGTGTCATGCACAGAAATAGGCATGAGAAATGCATCACAGTGGCGTAACTGCCTCTTTATTCGGGCCTTTTCCACAGCAGACATTTGGTCACAGTAGGAAAAGCAAGTGTCCCAGTACCTTGAAACTGTTTGAAATGTGGCTATTGTTAATTTTATTATTTATACCTGTGTTTTTTGTTACAGTGACATGTCAAAAGGTCTAGTGTTTATTTTGGATGTTATGGTTACTTTTGACACACGCACTTTCATACCTAGTTGAGGTCTACCTTTGATCTTTGGAACATAGTACCGTCAGAATACTTATTTGGTCTCCCGATCTACATGTTGATCAGTATTTTCCAGTTTGTACATTTACTGCACTTTTAACTCTGTAACACTGTGTGAGTAATGTGATTATAACTTTGATTCGCTACACAGTGATCTCTGTGGAGCGACATGATTCATCTCCCCTGTATCTCACCTGTGTTCTGCTGATTGTCAAGCGAACCTGATGAGGCAGACAAATGTGTCGCTCACTCTTCCGCTTGCAAAAAAAGCTAAATATATCCATTCATTATGAGCTGCTCCAGAGTTGAGTGTATTTGACGTGCTGCAAACTCCTTCTACAATTTACTGCTGACTTTAACTACATTTGACTAAAAAGCAGTTTCAGAATTAATATATTTTTTTAAATCTATGATTTATTTTGTCTCAGTGATGGTCCCATCTGCCGTATTTGCCACGAAGGAGGCAGCAGTGAGGGCCTCCTGTCTCCATGTGACTGCACAGGCACCCTGGGCACGGTGCACAAGAGCTGCTTGGAGAAGTGGCTGTCGTCTTCCAACACCAGCTACTGTGAGCTCTGCCACACAGAGTTCAGCATCGAGCGCCGACCGAGGCCTCTCACAGAGGTAACAAAGGTCAATGCCCTTTGCCTTGTCTGCATCAATCTTTCAGCTCGACTTTGTTTTTTGGTTGTGCTATTGAATGATTGTGCGTATCTAAATGTGTGAACGAGAAGTAGCTTTTCCTGCTTGCTTGTTATTACAGTGTGTCTTCTCTGTTCATGACTGACTTAAGATCTCTCCTCCACCTGTCTATCTACCTCTCCCCTCGCCTCTCTTTCACTTGTATATATTGTCCCTCTTCTATTTTTCCTCCTATTTTTTCTCCTACTTCGTATTCCACAGTGGCTGCGGGACCCTGGCCCTCGTAATGAGAAGAGGACGTTGTTCTGTGACATGGTTTGCTTCCTGTTTATCACACCCTTAGCAGCCATTTCAGGCTGGCTGTGCCTGAGAGGCGCTCAGGACCATCTTCAGCTGGGGAGCTGGCTGCAGGCCGTGGGCCTCATAGCCCTCACCATCGCCCTCTTCACCATCTATGTCCTGTGGACCCTGGTAAATATGAAAGCACATACAGATTATTAGACTATGTAATTCACATCTTGAGTTTTAAAATTGCCTGCTAATTTGCCGTGTAAACCCCCCCTAATAACCAGCTTTGACCTCCTCTTGCCTGGTGTTCTGTACAGGTATCTTTCCGCTACCACTGTCAGCTGTATTCTGAGTGGAGAAGAACAAATCAGAAAGTGCGTCTGCTCATTCCTGAAGCAAAGGAGTCTAACTCTTCCCAGCATTCCTTGCTCTCTACCAAACTGATGAAGAAGTCCGCCAGTGAGAGCATTGTATGAAACCAAACAGACGGTCGATGATGATGGTGTCTTTTATGTGCAGGGGCTGATTGTTGACACATTAAGTCTGCCAGCTAGCCTTTAAAGAAGCACCTGTGGGCTGTTTTGTCGCTTTTTTAAAAAACAAGCTTTGCCCCATCAGTACTTAATTCAGTTTTTTTGTTTTTAAAAAATCTGCCAAGCTTATGCAAAGACATAGAAGAATGGAATAGCACAGGGAATGTGCACATACATTTACAGAGACGTGGGCACAGGCTCATCATGATGGATGGAAAACACGATAACATAAGATACCAGTAAAATAAGAAAGGACCAAACTAACTTGTTTAGTGGACTAATGTTCAAATGATTGTTCTGTTTAGTTTCCACAACCCATCGACGGTCCACAGATGGCTGCAGATGGTAGCAGGTCCACTCATTGTCGAGCTGCAAACATGAAAATGCCCATTGAGGAGCTCTTTCAGGCAGTTACTGTGTGATCCCACGTTAATCTGTAAAGGGAAAAAAACTAAGATTTGAGCTTTGATTTATTTGCATATCACAATCCAGATGCCAGTGAGATGAAACTTTTAATTTTAGCACCAGCCTATTGGACTTCTTTAAAGCTCCCCCCTGCACCTGTTTTTACATGCCACCCGAGAGTGGGTGGCTGCATAGTAAAGCCAGAGATTGTGCAATAAAACACTGTGGACATCGAGGTCTTCACAGTACATGAAGAGACCTGTACCAACATGCACAGTTAATGCATGCAAGGACTGTTAATCATTTTGGGGGATTCTTTTGTGTGTGTGTATAGTTAAAATTCTTTTGTGGTATGAACAGATTTACTAATTTACTATTCCTACTGAAGTAGGGTTTAACTGTGTCCTCATAGAGGTTCTTGTATTATCAGCACTTAGCTGAGTGGATAGATCGATAGAAAACACATCAAAATGGCTTTTAGAGAAACATTGGTTTGGCGGCTGATGCAGTGTCCTTCTAATTGCCTGTTAAAGTACTTAATTATAGCTGTTTTGTTTTTCAGAACATACACATTGTGGTATGTGTGTAGTTTCTGTCATCACACTAAGAATCAGGGATACAGAAACTTCCTATGAGCATTTATCATTTATCTGTTGGGGGGGCTTCTGCCAGTCTCACATATACTCTACCCACTGACAGGGTACATTATGCAAGCACCATTAAGGCTTAATCTGACTTTATCTTTGTTTTGTCTGAAGCCGCTAGACGCTCACCTGCTTTTTCGAAGTCCATTAGATGGATGTCCTGTTTTTCTAGGGGTGCAAACTTCCCCTCATCATGTTTTGATGTTACAGAGCAGACTCATTTGGGACAGGCTGCATTGGTTGTTTGGGGTAGTAGAGAGAATCCACTTCTCTCTCTTGTATATACTTTGGTGCAGTTTCTAATCAAGTTACTTATAGTGGCTGGTAACTAACCAGTCAGAAAACACAAACCACAATATCCGCCTGGTTTCCACATGTTCGGATCATAGCCTGGTCCAGCTTTGAACATAGTTTATTACTTAATTCCACTTAGTTTAGGTTATGGGGAGACGGTTAATTGCTACTTTTACTCACTGTGGCCAACAACACATGCGCTATTGAGAACAACATTGTTGTTAAAACCAATGTAATTCAGCCTATGGCCCGAAACACACTGCCTTTAAGAACACAACAAGGTGGTCCTCTTTGCCTGTGTTCCAGTATTATAGTGCAGATCTTTCATTTATAACTGTTCAGTTCTGTGGGGTGCAATAGACGACGTAGCTGTACTACGCAGGTAACGTTGAAAGAAAGGAGGTGAGCTTAAAACTAAAGCTAATGTAAAGCTAGACTGGTTGGTTATCTTCATGACTAAACTTTAGTTCCAATATCACAATTATTGGCTTTTGAAGTTGGTTCTTCTGTATTCAGTGGAATCACATTTTTATCCTTACTGACCAGTGATCATACATTTGATTATCAGACTTATCACACCGACCATGCTTTATTCTTCTCTGCGTGCTTTTTGGTAACTTTCTTCTCGACATCAAAGTTAAGGCATGGATCCATTTCGCGGAGGCATTCAGTACTGACACAGTGAGAACGCATGCAGTACATCATCTGTCATGTGCAGAGCATAGACCGTATATAAAAAGGTGCAGAGGCCAAAAGTCTGGATTTTATGCACAATTGTGTTATTAATGTTAATTCAAAACACACACATATTTACTTTTTTTAACAATCGGGCTTAAACAACATTTGACTGAAACTGGTGTCGTCACAAAGAGTCAACCAAGCACATTTCAAGCACCTTTTTAGTAAGCATCAACACAGTTTCTTTTTTTCCGTCTGTACTCTACTGAATTACATGCTAACCTTGTGACCTGAAATGAAATTACAAGTTTATTGGCTCCCTGGGGCTGCTGTTGTATAACATTAGTCACAGGAACAGGGGTGCATCTCAGCAGTACTCTTTAGTGGGAAATTGACAGCAGCAGCCATCTTTCTTGTAATATTTTTATCCGTTTTTTATCCGCTGTTTCCTCGCCCCAGCCTTTTGTCCACACTAACATTATGCTTTGGTACTGTTAGCTCCTCATACTCGTCCCTCATACTGCCCCAGTTAATCATTTGTTTGTGTTTTTAACTCATCTCAGAACAAAGCATTTTATCCTGCTATACTGCGATGCACCCGGGGGGGCCTCATAAGCTTATGACTCACTTGATCATCCGTGTGTTTACTGTTTGTCCTGGACGAGGCTCTAGCCCATGTATTGGGATCTGTTGGCGGCACAGATTTGAAGCAATTTGAAGAGCTGAGGTGCAGTGATTCAACACTGCCTGCCTATAAGAAACGACTGAAATGTAGGTCAGTGCAGAAGATATCTGACTTGCACAGCCCCAGATCATTTATGATGATGATGATGATACCAGTTTTTTTATAGCGCTGAAAGTCTGTACAAAGTGGCCTACAAAGTATGCAACACTGCTCTTTCTTTGGCTGCATGCCCATTCATGTCAGCGTTATAAGAGCTGCATGATCCTGGTGTCTCCAAAGAGTTTTAAGTGTTATTATACTTTAACCATAATGTAATACTTTATATAACTCCCACAGTTCAAATCCAGAAAGGGACTTGAAATCATTGTTTTTATTGTTTCTTTGCTGAACAAATAAACATGTTAATGTTGTATACCATTTTTGTCATCTTTTAATTCTACATGTTGTTTTTGATGGCTGGTATCAGCCAAGAAATGTTAGGGGAAATATAAGGATAAATTATAGGTGAACATAAATTCAGGTGGTTTGTTTTCCTGTTTAGATTGTTTAGCTGTGTTAATGGTAATCCCCATCCATCTGTTCTCCGTAGTGCACTGAAGTTATTTTGTTGTGTGGTAAAATGGGCTCAGGTAGTGGAGTCCAACTTCAACACTACAGTAGAGATGCTATGACATGTATGACACGGCTGTTTACAGATCATCCTCTTAGTCCAGCGAGGATGAGATGTCATTACTGTAAGTCTGTTTTTCATCAGGATTAATGGGCACAAACCACTGCTGATGTCAAGTTATGCTACTGCGGAGAGTCACACAATCTCCTCGTCCCATCCACAAAAATATAAGCAGCTTAGTTTAAAAAAACACCAGTTCAAAATATTCAGTATGCTGCCTTGGTGAACAAACAACCAGTCTCCCCAGGAAGGAGAAAAACACTTTAAAAGTTTGAATGTTTTTAGTGGGTGTTGCTTAGTGATCAAAATTAGTTTGATCTGCCTTCATTCTTACGGATTGTACCCTCAGCTGCAGAAGATGCAGACACTCTGATTAACTGCTTCCACAGAGAGATCTAAATCGTATTGTATCATAACCTTTATGATATTGCACCAGGAATAATTCATGCTCCAAAGTTACCCAGACAACTCATCTCAACTTGTTAAAACAAGATTCCGAGCTTTCCTTTACCTCTTCGTCACTAGGCCTCTGGCTTAGGTGCCTGCCTCAAAAATGCATGCCCAAATTGTATAGAGTATTTCTCCCTCCTACAAGTACCTCAAAACTGTTACCAGGTGAAGTACTTGTGTAAATGTATTTAGCAAGGTCTTATCTTAAAACCAGAGAAAACTTAGTTTTCAGTAAGAAGATATAAACCTAACACACTACTTTTAAGAATTTTATTGTAAATTTGTACAGTTCTTAAAGTAAAACAATGACAACTTAAGCCAAATATTCTTCAATAAATACATAATGAGGATATTTATGGCTTGATAACTTTTCTGATGCAAGAAGAAAGATAGAAGAACCACACTGTCAGATGCATAATACTGCTTCACCAGTTTGGAGTAACTGCCTGTAGTTTATTTACACAGCACCATCTAGTGGTAACCATTGAAATGTATTTCACAACCTCCCTGCACAGGACTGAGTTGAGTTTGGTTCACTTCACAGGCTTCATTAAGACAGCAGACACTGCCTCGTTCCTGCAGTGCAGGAACCTTCACATTGACTCCATGGACAACTCGACTGACCAAGTGACATAAAGGCTTCTTGAAGTTTTCTTTCATGGCAGAAGAGAAGAGCACGAGTGACTTTAAACGTCCTATGTAAAACAGAATGAAAGGCGGAAAGAAAAATCAAGGACAGCGTGACGAGAGTTGGCCGTGAGCAGAGCGACAGGGTCAAAAAAAAAAAAAAGTGCACAGGTGTTGTGATGTCGAGGTGGATGTGGAGAGGTGCAGGATGAGTGTCACGGAGCGTCACAGGCTCTGGCAGCACTGGAGTTTGTTGCCCCTCTGCCCGTCCGTGGTTGGGGGGACACTTATGTCCACTACATTGTTGCCTGGAGACTCATCGTGTGCCGATCTGTCCGCTATCTGCTTCTGCGACACGATGCGGTAGATTTCTGCAGAGTGAAATTCAAGAAAGAAAGAAAAACACAGCAATGTTGCTCATTTGTTTAAACTTCTCACAGGTGGTTTGATTTTTCAGCACATGTAGCTGTGGCACCGACATAACTAATGCCGTCATATTGGAAATGTAATATATGTGTAGCGGGTCTGACTCTGCGTTGTGTTGTATAATAAGCCAGGACACGTGTCTCAGGATTATCTTGGAGCAATTTATTCACTAGCAGCTACAACAGCAGAAACAGGTCTTCTAGAGAAAGTCCCGGAAGCAAGAGGAAGAGACGTCAGACGCCAAATAAAGTGTCTTCTATACTTCCCGTGGTGAAACTCTAACATGTCCTCTTAGGAAAGAAATATCCCCGTCACATAAATACCATTATAAACGTAAACACATTCATGGAAAGAAACGCATTAAAACCGTTCCATAATGTTTGATATAAATAAAAATAAAAACATCATAGCGGAAATATTAACTGCAACCTTCAAAATAAAAGCCAGTTACAATATATACTGAAATGTCCTGTCCACACCATAGCGCAACAACGTCACACTACCACATTGGCAACGTTGAGATCTTCAGATCAGACGTCACATGATACGTGGCACTGGGTGCTTACTTTTCCTACCTGTTAAAATGTTCTTGAATGCTTCTTCTACATTTGTGGAGTCCAACGCTGATGTCTCAATAAATGAGAGAGTGTTCTTTTCTAATGTTGAAAGAGAGAAAAAATACATTTTAAACATGTTCAGAATATTTTACAGATTATAAAGTCTGTCTTGGCCTTCTTTATTACCAGAGCATTTAATAATTTACCTGCAAAGGCCCGAGCCTCATCAGTGGGCACTGCCCTGAGGTGTCGGAGGTCGCTCTTGTTTCCAACCAACATGATGACGATGTTGTTGTCAGCGTGATCCCTCAGCTCCTTCAACCAGCGTTCAACGTTCTCATACGTCAGGTGCTTGGCGATGTCGTAGACTAGGAGAGCCCCAACAGCACCCCGGTAATACCTGGCGGCGGCATAAACCAGATGAGTACAATACCCGGACCATCTTTATTCCAATGTAACATTTGCATCAATATACGCTCGTTTACACACACACAGACAGAAAACACTCACGCTGAGGTGATTGCTCTGTAGCGTTCCTGTCCAGCTGTGTCCCAAATTTGAGCCTTTATTGTCTTGCCATCCACCTGGATGCTGCGGGTGGCGAACTCCACCCCAATGGTGCTCTTGCTCTCCAGGTTGAACTCATTTCTTGTGAAACGGGACAGCAGGTTACTCTTCCCCACTCCTGAGTCTCCGATTAGTACGACTGCAACCAAAACGAAACATTTGAATAATGCACATGTACCACTCAAGGATGATTTATAGTCTGGTTATTATTGAGTCATGGTCATTTTCTGGCAGAATGAAAGCGTTGACTTGTTTTCTTTTTTTCCCGCACTGAGAACAATTTATCAGACTTTGCCCTGCTGGGAGTCAAGCAGGAAAAAGCCAGCTCTCGGGCAAAATCTGACTCAACAGTTTCTCAAGGCCTCTGTTCCTGTCGTTGTTACCAGTCATCAGTATCTCCAGCCATTTTCCAGCTGCCACACTAGACCTGGGCCTCTTTCCTACTTAATTACTAAATAGATGTGTTTAAGCATGTGTGTACAAGTTTCCTTGTCAGTGAAATATTAAAATTCCTGCATCCAAACTTCAATCAATGATTTGGCATAAAATTACTTTGGGGGCCATGGAAGCCGATCTCTCTCCTGTTAACTGCTTTGTGTTACAAAGGATTGCTTGTGACTCAGTCATAGAAGTTACAAAACGCTCTGTGGTTTCTCTTCTTTGCAAGCTGAAAGGAATAGTCAGGTTCTCATCCTTTGAAATCCGAGCAGGACAACTTAGTCACACGCCCTCATGTGATTCATGTAGTGGCAGAGTGCTTCGACATGACAACACAATAACAAGCTGATTCTTATTCAGGAAAATACCACATCGATTAAAAGAGTCAGCAACATGTTGTCAGGAAACTGAAGGCGTAAAAGGACCATGTTACCAGTGACTCAGTGGTCAGGTCACATCTATAGTTGCTTGGTATGTATTTATGCCCTCAAAGGCAGTGTTTGGGATGCTCGGTGTGAAACGTTACCTGAAGCACTAACTTAAACTGGCCACACTACAGTTTCCTTTTCATTCACTTCATATGGAGTGAGTGCCCTCCCCCGGGCGACAGGTTTAGACTGAATGGCAGGTCTACCACGAAGGGAGCTCGTTTCCTTTTCCATTAATTGTACCTGATTTCATGAGGCAGTCAAAAGAAAGGGGGCCTGTTGGTGCTCCTGTTGGGATCGCTAAGTTTTACAGTGTGGTTATATGTAAGGACAACTTCTCTTTAATGACAACAAAGTTGAATTTCATTACAGCAAATGCAGTCCCTCAAATCCGTTAGACTAATTAGCTAACGTTACTATAAGTTAGCCTGTTGGGCCAACTCACCACACGCCCTGACGTTACTTTCTGTAACATCCATGTAGCAAAAGAAATGATTTACAGCAAACCTTGACACAAATACAAGCGCTAACGCAACCTAAGTACAAGTTAAACGTGCAGTTAATTAGAAATGAGGAGTCACACGCTGGTAAGAAAACAGTCTGGCTAGCTAACTTACAGTTAGCTGCCACCGCCAGCTGTTTAGACCCGAACACTGACGTTAGCACAGCTAGCAGGCATGCTAACCCAAGCTTAGCCAGTTCCCCTGCTAGGTAACGCCAAACAACCGTATCTATGGGCAGTTTCTGCTCCGCTTACCTTTGAACAAGAAATCATATTCGTCGTCTCTGTTCCCCATTGTTTGATACAGTCACCTTTCTGAGATTGTGGTGAAGACAGAATATAAATTCCCTGCCCTGACCAGGGTGTTGTGCCAAGATGACAGAAGACAATGCGCACATTGCGCAGGACGCGCAGCGCCGTCACGTGACTCACCGGTATGTAGCTTAGGTAGGCTTGAAGTAATGAAGTAAAACATTTGCCATTGCGTGTTTTTGTTTCTATAATGTCTATAAAGTCATTATTAATTATGCTCCCCACATTGTCACATCCATAGATCTAAAATAAAAACGTTGATTAGGCTTCTTATGTTTGATGGATTACAACAAAACCATCTTTTCATTATATTGATACTAAATCATACCGTGCCCAAGACTGCAAGTCAGTTGTTGTCTCTTATTTAATAGTTGCCATTTCAATAAATTGTTTGTTTTTTTTGTTTGACAAATGGATAGCCTACCTTTTTATAAGAGTTCCTTCTTGTCTTTGGAAATACTGGCAATTTAGTAGTAAGTTAGTAGACAAAACAACCAAAACCAGAACAGAGGCTCTGCCTTCCTCCATATCCTCTGCTGCTGTGAGGAGCGCCACTGAGAGACATTGGTCATGGCCAGGCAGCTGTGGAGGACTGCAGATAGTTTATGTTCCAGGCAGGCCTGCCCACTGAAATGACTGGGCCCCTGAAAAGGTCCAGTAAATGGGCCCTTCGCAAATCTGCTTTACTCATGTCAAGGCATGCTGTACTCTCTCTCTATCTCCTACACAAACACATACCTGGCCTGCTGCTTGCGGTGCACTTTTAATGTTTTGACATTAGGTACAACAAACATTACTCATACCATTTTCAGGAGAGAGGGTTTTGATTATAAAACAGGTTATATTTTACTAAAGAAACATTAAATAAAATGTATTTTATATTGTGTTTTTTAGTAATTTTAATAAGTAATGGTGAGTAATTTGGTTCAAAATAAAATTTGGTTATCTTTGCATATATGTAGGATGAACATCATTAGTGCTGGACTGCATGGGCCCCCCTAGCAGTTAGGCCCCAGAAAGCTTTCCCCTTTTCCTCCCTTATGGGTGGCCCTGGTTCCAGCTGATGGTTTGACAGAGACAGATAGAGATAACAACAGCGATCACTGTACAGTAAAAGTCTGATTTGGGGATGCTAGAATTTAAAGGTCTGAAAGGGTAAACTGTCATTAAAAGAAACCCAAACAATTTACTGAGGAGATTCAGGCAGCAAAATAAATTATGTGTTCTCAGTGTGCAGTGGAAATATAAGGTTCAGTTTTACATCATTGATGTACACAAAACACCTCTTAGTGTGGCACAATACAATTCCTTCAGCACCTCTCTGAATAATACTAATGATAACAATTTAATCTTCATGAAGGTAGGATTTATTGCAGGAGTGTTGTTAGTTTTAGTTCGGTGCAAGGGCATAGAATTTAGTATGGACATGTCCCTACCAATATCCAGCGGCTACTGAACTGTCCCTAGCAATACTTTTGATCAGAACAATTAAAAATAACCACCATTGCCCTTCCTAAAATATTTTCACGTCAAAGATCCCTAAACTGACACAAATTAGACCTCCATTTTATAAGACTGTGTCACAGGGTCCCCAATCTGATAGGATTTTTGCTTTTAGATGTTTAATTCCATAAAGTGTATGAAACCAATGACAAAAATAGTCATACATTCTGTCATTGTGTTGCTTATGGATGAAATTTTAGTGAAAATAAATTATTCCCCTTTTTGCTGTGGCCCCCTGAGCCCCCTCATGGACCCCCTGGTGGTCCCCGGACTCCACATTGAGAACCACTGGTTTTGTCAATGTATTTGGTACACAAATGGTTTACAGCTCTTGTTCTCTACTATGAGTCCAATGCGTTTTTTAAGTTCTGAAGGATTTTGTCCCGCTTTATTGTCCCCCGAATGTCCGGTTGATGGCTAGGCCTAAAGTGTCTATTGATCAAACCACAACAACTTCCTCCTACCAGCCAGCAGAGGGAGCCGCCATCTTACCTCTTGACACTAATATGAACGTTTCCCTTTCCCCTGGTCAGGTGAAGTGTGCACTACGCAATTGCAAGTTAAATGTAAGAAAATCAGCAGGAGGGGACCATCTAGTTCTCATCCGGGCTGCTATTCATCATACACATTCAATATAACACCGGTACGGGTGAAATGAAAAGCTGCTAAGGTTTTCCCACTGCATAAAGGTGGTGACATTGACAACTACAGTATAACCCCTTGCAAATATCTTATACTGACTGGTTCACACAGTCAACTACACGCTTATCTATATTATAACTGTATTGCAACAACCAGGCTTTTATGACTTTGACTTGATAGCCCGCTTTCATCAATAACAGACACTTTACTGCACCATTTGATTGCGTCAAGACTTTTGTTGACCAGCTGTATAACAGCTGTATAAGGTAATATGAAAATGTTATTCTGTTAACATCACAGCCTTTTACCCAGTCCCATTTACACATAGGTGTGTTGCCTGTTGTTCCTAAAGACATCATATTACGTAACGTACAGGTGTTAGTTTCAGGCCTGCAGGCAGGTGATTTCTGTCATCGAGAAAGACGTAAAAAGAAATTCCACCTGTAGAAAATCACGCCCTCTCCACACATCGACCAATCAGCGGTGAGGGCTCTGCTACCTCTGAACATAATGGCCAGCTTATTTATTCGCTTTATTTCAATGGGGGAATCTACTACGTAGTGTGGTCAACTCTGTGAATAAGTTGTGATTTATTTAAGACATCTACACTCCTCGTGATGGCAAAGCGACCAGGGCGACAGAGGAACCAGCTGCCAACGTGTTACTATGAGGGATACCTGGAGAAGAGGTCGTTCAGAGAGAAGGTAGCGTGGGAGACAATGGTGGAGAGATTTGTTTTTCTGTGCTGACTGTAAGAGACAAGTTTGTCCAATGTAACACGTGACACTGACTGCAAAAAAGCTACTTATCATTGGGACTTTCTAGTTTTTGTATCTGATGGTTATCAGTGGGTTTTATCTGTGTTATCAAAATGTAAGAGAAACATCTAAAATTCATCAGGACCGGAAGAGAGATGTTAAACAAAGATTAGTCCTACATGGTTTGGATGTTGAGCAGGAAAGATACGGTTTTGTCAAAGATTGTAGGGTTTAATGTGTGTATGGGCTGCGTAGAACATTTTTTCTGTCTTTTTTTTGTTGCAAATCATGAAAAATGTCCATCACATATTCCTGATAAAGGAAATATAAGGTTTTAAATGTTAAAATAACATCAAATTAATCAGAAATGCATTGTGGGCATTGTTAATGTTGGAGATGACTGTTGTTGCTGAAGGCTGATTTGTGGTGGAATCTACTTGGCTTACAGAGGCCCATTATCAGCAACCATCAGCCATGTGTTCCAATGGCATGTTGTGTTTGCTAATCTAAAGTTCATAATTTTAAAAGGGTAATTGAACATTAGAAAACCATTTTGCAATCACGGTAACACAGCTTAAAAACTGCTGATTAAAGAGGTAATAAAACTTCTTTAGACTAGTTGAGTATCTAGAGTATCTGCAGTTGTGGGTTCCATTACAGGCTCAAAATGGCCAGAAACAAAGAACTTTCTCCTGAAACTCATCAGTCTGCTCTTGCTCTGAGAAATGAAGGCTATTCTATATATGAGAGACTACTAAGAAAGTGAAGATTGTGTACAATGCTGTGTACTATTCCCTTCACATAACGGCACAAACTGGCTCTAACCAGAGCAGAAAGACTTCCTTTAAGTCAAAACTAAATATCCATCTCATGTTTGTTAGTGACTACAGATAACAATCCACTAACTATTTTAATCTTATTCCCTCATAGGCCTTTGCACCAATGTTGGCAGAACTGGTTTCGGGCAGGTGATGTGCACCTTTTCAATGGAAAAACTGCAAACTGCCCTCAAGCTCTCATTCCCCTCATTCCTGTTCTCAGGTTGCTCTTAGAAAAGCGATGTTGCTCTCAATGAGACTGCCTGATTAAATAAAGATTAAATTCTAAAAATGAATAAATTATACACTTCTGTATATGTTAAGTAAACAGGGACAGGAATACAAGGCAAGTTTCTGTCTATCTATCTGTCTATCTATCTGTCTATCTATCTGTCTATCTATCTGTCTATCTATCTGTCTATCTATCTATCTATATCTGCCCATCTCAATGTACACATGAAGAAGTTCAGAGACCTGGATAAGGTGTGTAATTTATTCATTTTTAGAATTTAATCTTTTCTTTTCCTTTTAAACTTTTCTAAGAGAGACTTGAGAACAGGAATGAGGAGAATGTAAGACTCCAGTTTGAGGGCAGTTTGCAGTTTTTACTTAAAACCAGTTCTGCCAATATTCGTGCAAAGGCCTGCATGAGGGATATCTAAGGTTAAGTAGTTAGTGGATCGTTATCTGTAGTCACTAACAAACATGAGATAGATATTTATTATTTGGAGTGAGAGACCTGGGCTTGAATCCACTGTGAGACATCAATGTGTCCCTGAGCAAGACACTTAACCCCTGGTTGCTCCAGAGACGTACCATTTAACTGGTCTTTTCTGCATTTAAAACTAATCTGCTTAAGGAGTGACAATAGGTAAGCATCCAAGGCAGTCTGAAGAGTGTCAGTGGAGCCTTGGGCATATCAAATTTTTTCAAGAGAAAAAAATGGACATTAAAGCATTGATTAGGAAGAATTATGTTATTTATATATCGTATAAAGAAGTAACCGCAGTGGACCAGGCATTGACTCTGTGGCAACCCATTTCTGATGGTAAAATGGCATGACTGGCTATCATCAGCATCAAAAGTCTGAGTTTTCCCTGTGAGGTTAGGGTGGATCTAGACCTATGTTTACATGCCACAGTGTCCTGCTTTCTGTTGGAGTAGTCCAGGTAGCATATCCAGGTTTCTCAAACCCAGGATATGGTGTTTACATGCGCAACACACACAACTGGGATGCTCCAAAAACCCGATCATAACAAGGATACTTGTCTGCATGTAAACACACTCGTGACTGCTTATATGTTTGAAATAGGTCTGCTGTTGTTGTTGGTGGGAGACTCTTCCTAACACTCCCGCCAACCTTAATCTGTTTTAAATATCAGTCATTCAGCACCTGTTTGATTAATTAACTGATTTATGGTGGTGTGCAGAGGAACTCTGCTGCACTTTATATTCTAGCTCTGGTGGACCTTTGATCATTTAATATACTCGCCTGTGCTTAATTAATTAATTACAAGCTGCAGCGTAATTACATACATTAATACTTTATTCATCCTTTGTGGGAGTGCATTGGTCAACACACTTAATGCACAGGTAGACATTCAGGGAATGTCAAGTGTTGTCCATGGGAGGAGCAGCCTGTCTGTTATTGTATAGTTTAAGTTGTGTGGACTTGGATTTTTCAGCAGGCAGTAAACAGCACCTGTCTCTCTCTCCAACTGGTCTGACTGCTTTTCTGCTCACTGTATCATAAAGATTAGAGCAAGCCAGGAACTGACAGTAAACTGGCATGGCAGGCTTTGCAAATCATAAATCCTGTTTGCTCTTCAGCTCCTCCCTCACTGAAATGAGACTGTATACACTCCAGTGAGAGCCACAAACAGCGTTGGGGGGTGGCTTTGACCTGAAATAGCAAATGGTGATAACAAACTCTGATTCATGCAGTACTCACGACTTACACACCTATACACACAAAGGAATCCGGGAAACTGCTGCATGTTCCTGATTCCATGTTTATAGATATTAGAAATCACACATTGGTTTCTGTTGAGGTTACAAATTGTTGAGTCATCAAGTTCAATTCCAAGAAATGTTTTCTTCTTTGATATTCCTCTTCATAAATTATTTTTTTCTGTTTTCCGTGTGTGTGCGTGTGTGTGTGTGTGTGTGTGTGTGCGCGCGCGCAGACATCTCGGAAACTGTGGACCTGTCTGTGTGGAAGCACACTGTTCTTCTTCAATGAGAAGAGAGATGCTGATGTAAGTAATCTTTCTTTTTTTTTTTTTCCTTTATTTCTTTTTAAATTAAATTTGTTCTTTATTAAGCCAACACTTGGGAATTATATGTCACTCCATGTGTCTTTGTGTGTGTGTGTGTGTGTGTGTGTGTGTGTGTTTCATCAGTACATAGAGAAACTTGATCTCAGTGGATTCATCTCAATAACAGATGACGGCAGCTACGATCGTAATTTAGGTGCAGCCAGGCTCAACTTCCAAATGAAGGATGAAAACATCAAATTTACTGTGAGGGAATATATATATAGAAAAGATGTAAATCATTCTCTGTTTTTCAAAGTAATTCCCCATTTTCACAGTTTTTCTCCCCTCATTGTCTCCACAGTGCCCAAATGCTGAGACTCGTGAGCTGTGGAAGGGCTTTATTCACTCTGTGGCTAAGGTCTGTGGTGTATAACATTTAGCTCACCAATAAGCACTCACTGTAACTTGTTTTAAATGTTTTAGGTTTAGCAGGCTGATGTTTAGATGTAATGAACATCAGGCCAAATATTGATAATTGCAGCCTTCATGTGCACAGATAATTTCAAATGTGTGTCTCCCTGCAGCTGTCGTTACCATCCTCCCTCAACCTGCTGCCCGGCCAGATCCAAATGCTAAAAGAGGTTATAGAAAAGGAAAAGGAAAGGATAAAAACTGTCCCTCCATCCGCTGTCAGCTCCAACTCCAGTCCTTATATCAGCCTCCAAGCAGAAATGCCAGTGTGAGTATTAGCAACACTCGGATTTACTGATTCTTTAAGTTAAAAACGGGAGACTTCTAAAGTCTGGCAGTATTTCATTATTCTTTCCCACATGCCTTGTTTTGGATCACAGTATCAACAAAATCTAGGACATAAAAGGCATTATGTATCTGCCTTTTTAAGCAAAAAAAAAAAAAAAAATGTAACAACTCAATTCAGCTTCTTATTTGTTTTCTTATTAAAACATGTGTTTGGTTTTTTTTCAGTGTCCCTCCACCTGCTGTCACCAGCTCCACGCCTCACACCAGCCTCCAAGCAGACATGCCAGCGTAAGTATTAACAAAACTCGAATGTACTGATGCTTGAGTGAAAAGCTGGCGACTTCACATTACCAAAACTGACATTTTAGAGGAGCATTTTGAAGGCCATTTAAAATGGTCTTGAGCTATCTGCCAGTATTTTAGTATTTAATGACTCTTTCCCACATGCCTTTGGTTTTGTGTGAAATCTTTCAGTGTCCCTCTACCTGCTGTCACAAACTCCAGTCCTTACATCCACCTCCAAGCAGACCTGCCAGCGTGAGTAAATATGTGGTTTTACCCAATTTCAGACCTTGTCTAGAAGCAGTAGACGTCTGGGTCTCTGCATCTTTGCAGTCATGTTGTTCCACCTGCCCCCAACAGTTTACAAAGTGATCACCCTTTGCATAGCATCACTGTCCAGGGAAAAATATGTATCTTCACATTTGGTGATTTTTAGGTTGTCCAATAAACTGGACATTGAATCAAAATAAATTCAAAATATCTGGACTGGAGTATCTCTAGAAAGTACCACTCAGCTCAGTCATTGCTGTCTTGAATCTCAGACAAGACTTTTGTCATCATTCGATATAGATATTTATCCCGATAAATGTCAAATCATTATTTCTTTCAAGTTTAAAGGCTGATTTAGTTTAAAGGTTGAATTTTTGCTCCTGATTGAAAGTTGAAGAAACCAGATGATTAATTGTGGTTTTAAACTTTTCTTTATGGTCAGAACATGACAAACACTTGCCAAACAGTGGATCATTTCACAAAACATTCAAAACAATTATAATGATATAAATAATAAAATCTTTATCAACATAAAAATATGCATGAGTAAAATCATTTTGTAGTCCTTTTTCCTCAATAAAATAAATATCTTAATAGGAAAAGGAAGTGCTGATTTGTTTCAGATTAAACATTAGTTATATTTATATCAAGGAAAATTAAATCACGATAATGATTGTTATCGTTTTATTGCCCAGCCTTACTTTTAATAACCTAGGGAAATCAGTTTTGGCAGTTTTTCCTAATGTCTCATCACTGTTTTCTGGCAGTTGTTACCACAATGTGTCCCGTCTGGAGGCAGAGCTGCTGCTTGAGAGAGAGGCCAAGAGAGGAAACCTGCTGCTGAGGCCTGGGAGGGACGGACAGTCCTTCGCTGTCAGCACCAGACAGGACCTTGGCGGGTACATACACACACATGCTCAAAGCACACACCCACACACATCTAATACATAAGCATGCACACTTATCTCACACATTCTCACGCTAAAACACAACTTCAGTATCATCAATTAATCTGTGCAAAAAATGGACTGAACCTGTCTTATCTTTGCAACTGTGTTGTTGTTGTGTTGGGTAATTTACAATCAGTTGATTTGGTTCATTTCATCTGTGTTTTGATTGCCTCATCTCTGTCTTTTTCTATCAGCTCTATATTCAGACACTACCGAGTGACTCGGAAACATGCCGGGGGCTTCACCATTGATGTTGACAATCCTGTGAGTATTACAACATCTGGTCTAGATTAAGGTATTTAAATAATGAAAGTACTTAAGGCGCAGATATAAGAAATAACTATTTGCACTTGATGTTTGGAGGTTTCATGGGGATTTATTGTTCAAGTGAGAGAGGACGTACCTTGAGCAGTAAACACAGAGTTGGCAATTAAAATGTCACATGACGTTAGTCCATGGATCACAGGATTCCACTGACAAATTCAGTAACTAATTTGTCAACATAGGTCCTGCCTTGGCTGTAAAAATCCATTAAATCCATTTGTTATATAGAGCTGATTTCCCATCCACCTTCATGTACTTTTTCTTCTGTAAGTGAGAAAGAAATATGTAACATTCTATAAATTTGAAGCTGACATCTGCTGGTCATGATGATCTTCAAATGAACTGAACACTGAAACAGTGCCTCCCTGTACTACACTACAACCACTGTGTCACATCTTTTTTTTTTTTTTTTTTTTTTTTTAAACTCAGGTATACTGCCAAAATACAGAGAGATTTACCTACCGGGGAATTGACTTAATCAGCTTTGTATGAACATGTTTGCCGATGGCTTAAATGTAACGGAGGTTCAATCCTATGGAAAAGTCCCGCAGTCCAGGTTTACTATAAGTTACTATATGACTAAAAATATAGATTTCATGAAAAGCATTCTACCTCCATGGCCTTGGTCCAATTAGCTGACACAAAAATTAAAGCTTTAGACAACAAATTATTCACAGTTGGAGTATTTATTGATTTGTCAAAAGCTTTTGACACTGTGGATCATAATAAATTATTAAATAAGCTTCAAGCTCATGGTGGCTATTTTAACTCATCACACAGTTTCTAGATTAGGTCCTCTTTTATTTCTTGTACATCAATGACTTTTGATATCATAAGAAGCACTCTTCATTTTATATGCCGACTTTACCAATATTGTTCCTACAAATAAAGATGAACATAGGCTCATCATAACCCATATGAACAATGTTCTAGATAGGATGGGTTTCTAGTTCAAATGCAATAAGTTATCCCTTAATGTTAAGAAATTGTGCTTGTATATCTTCAAGCCAAAAATTAGAATGGTTATTATCACACCAGATCAGCTGATCTTTTATACACTATAGTACAACCACACAATCCTTTAAAAAAAGAGATTCTCACACACAGTACTATGAAAATGAGGTATGAAAGCAGTGGAAATATGTCATTCTTATTCTTGTTTTGATGTCTCTTTTATGTCAATGCAGTCAATATGTAAATTTGTGGCAAGTAATGTCGCATGTTAATTTCAATTTTAGGTGGGTTTTCCTTACAAGCCCTTGGGTTTTTTTTCATCCCACCTGTGCTTTTTTGTTTTTATTGTTGTTGTAGATTTATTTTCTTCAGTTTTATTTTATTATAAATAAAGAACTAATGCAAATAACTCAGTCACCACAAACATATTACTTCTGCACTTGTGTTCTGTGGACGTGTTGGATAAAATTTTAATTTTGCTGCAGGTCCTCTGTGCCACGCTACATGATGTGATCGACTATTTAGTTGACAAAACTGACGGAGTTTTGAGTCCTCTCAGCATTGAGGAACAATATGAGAAAAACATCTGTATGTACAAAAACATTTTCATCTTTCTATTTGACTTTTTTTTTTTTTTGCCTTTGTTTTGCTCACTCACTTCGTGTAAGTCACCTTTTTAGCGGTGTAATAGTTATTCCATATATCAAACATATACTGTACATTTACTAAAAGGTAGACACAACTAATTGAAGTTCTTTTTTTTACAGATTTTATTTGGTCTGATGATGAAAATGGAGAGAAGAGTGTTCAGCAGGCCCAGTCAGCCCCGCCAAGCATACCTCCCAAACCAGGTACTGTGCACATTAATATAATTATAATAAACACATAAATATGAACACATACAGCAGGGTTCGACATAAGCGATGGCCCAGATCCAGTAAAAAATGTATCTTGAGCAAGTGACTGGCTAGTCTACATCGTAAGTCAGTTGTATGTCCTATACTGCTGTACAGCGGGGCTTTGAGCTAAACGCTAACATCGGTTAACACGCTCATGAGTGCAAACATGCTGATCTTTAGATGATTTCTCAAGATGTTCTATCTGAGTAGTATTTCAACCCTGTAATAATTTACTTGTTTTGTTTGCAGTAGCTTTAAGACCGCCGATCCTTGTACCAGTGCCAGAACAACCTGTAGAAGACAATTTGTATCTGAATGACACGCGTAAGTATAACTCTGCTGTCAGTCCATCTATCATTCCTGCCCTTTGCCCTTCTGTCATTCAGCCATAAACAGGTGAGACTTCATTTTTTCCATTGCTGTTGTTAACTATAGTCTGTGCTCAAACAGTGGAGGAAATGGAGAAAGAGCCAGAGGAATCCCCAGATGTTCCACTGCAACGTAAGCGCCTGTCTGTCTCAAATAGTTTCCCCTTTCCTGCTGCATGACTGTATTATTACTTACTTTCTTAATGACTCATTGCGTGTATTTCCTCTATAGCTCTGGAGAAAAAAGCTCCAAAGAAAGCAATGATGCCTCCAAGTCATGCTCTTTGCAAACGCTCCTCTTCTGCATCATTCTCCTCCTCTTCCTCCTCCACAAACAGCTGGGACATGAGGATGAAAGTCCCCTCAGAAAGTCTGGGACAGAGTACGTCCACCTTTCACTTTCATACGTTTAGATTTATTAATTTGTGCAGTCTCATTTCATATTTTTCTGTCATGAGTGATCTTACTTTCTTGCCGTGATGTCAAAACTTATTGTCTAATATGCTCCAGTTCCTCCAGCAGCAATATCTGAGCTGAAACTGAAGTTGGAACGAAAGGGGATGTGTCAAGAGTGACCTCTACTGGTGGGAGCCTGTTCCTCCTCCTGTCAGCAGGAAAGCCTCACAGAGGATTAACACTTTATTGATTCACCTTTCTCAGACACTCATTAGCAAATGAATTGACTGTAACAAGGGTTGTACATGTCACATTATCCTCGCCATGTTTCTCTTGTATATTTTGCACATTTTCCTAATCAGAGTGGTTGTTGCAGTGTTTTTTTTTTTACTGTAATTACTTGTTGAATTGTACTTTGTATATTTTTACTTTATGAGATGGATATTTTTATTCTACCTGAGGGTTGTGTGATTATATATTGTACAGCACACACCACTGCCTCTCTGTGTAGTGAACTCTAAAAGGAAAAAACGAGTTGGCTTGTGGTTACTGGACCTGCTGTATGTGAATGTATTACATATTGTGTTTCAGTGAAGGGAAAAACTCTTTGCTTCAGTCACATGAAATTACATACATGTGACCAAGCAACTTCTAGTATGTGCCATACTGCACAACCGGTCAGTTTTATGATGTTCTGTAACTTTTTTATGAAGTATTCCTGTGTTGCACTTTTTTTTAAAAAACTTTATATTTTTCTTGCTGTTTTGTTTTATTCCTCGTCGAACCAGAAAACACAACAACCGCTTGCTCTCACTCCTTTATTACCTCAATGACTGATACACTGTAGTGGAAAAAAAATTACTATTTACAATAAATTGTGACATGTCAGCATGTGAAATAAAGTTTAAACATAACTCTCAGCTTCTTTAAAGCATTGCAGGCTACAGTTAGTCAGTACAGAAGGAGCGACGCGGCAAAGCAAGACTTGTTACCATGTGTAGCAATATGACATGGACACTACTTAGAGGCCGGGCGGTGCACTAATAAGGAATTCATAACATCCATTTCCAGAGTTTAACACTTTTGTTTCTCACACAGCTGGACCCCAAAACCTGGCTAACTCTCATGATACAATTTGTTAGCTGAGGCTACTTGCTATTTATTAGATTTGGACACCGACAGTCCACTACTCATTAATGGGATTCCTCTTCAGCAAATAAAGTGGTATTATTATTACTAGGTATAGACACACACATACTGTACATACAAGCTTCAGGGTGCAGTCAGGTGAACTGAACATTTACAGTAATTTCCCAAATCCATGGAGTTTCACTAAATATAACTTCCCTCTAGCTTTTCTGTGCAGAGTCTGGCTGTCAGACATAACTCCACAACCAACACCTCTCTAATTTAAAACTAGCGGGAGGCTAAAGGACCCAGTTTCTTGCACGCAAAGTGTGGGACCTGACTACAAAGACTGAAATGCAGTGAACACTGTTAACTCTGCATGCCATGGCAATAAATAAATACAACATTCCTAATGTGTTGTTAATTTGTTATGACCCATTAGTTTCTGGCAAAGTGGAACACATCCTGAATGAGTAATGAACTACATTCTGTTCAGTAGCGTTGTCTAGGAGCAGGTTGGGTTACATAGTTTGGTTGGTGGATAGAGGCAGATTCAGTAGGTGATAATTACCACTAAGCTATGTTACAACCAGGTTATACTAAGACTGACACAATACATTGTTTTAACTTGACATAGGGAGGATATTTCTTGCACTGAAATATTAGCGTGTTGGTACAGATCACCTGATTTGGCCAATCAGTTTGGAAATGAGGAGGAAGGCACAGGGAGAGAGCAGGCAGGACAGGCGATGACCCTGCACCTGCAGCTGGCTGCATCGACAGTACGGCTGAGTGTTTTGGTGATGGAAAGGAAGGAAGAGCAGCGGCCAGCGCTAAATCATTGCTCTAGCAGCAGCGGGACAGCGCTAAATGAATGTGTGGAGAGAAGAGAACTAGTAAGACTACAGCTAATGTGTCCCAAGCAATCACAACAGCCAGAGTCATACGTCTGAAGAATTCTGTCACTGAGGGCGCAGATGACACACTTGTTCCCCAAAGCCATTTTTGCTGTCATGCAACACAGACACCGCATGTGGAACAGGCGAAACCATCATATTCCAGTGATGTAACTCTTCCATGATATGGCTTTGACCGCAGTCGAGAGCAGAGGTGATGTTCTGCGGCCGTGACTGTGGTCGAGCGGAGCTGGGAGGCTTCCTGCCGGCTGAGCTGATGCGTCTAGGTGAGGCTGGCGTTGGAGCTGCTGGTGCCGCTGTTCTTCCTCTGGCCGCTCAGCACCACGCTGGGAACCTGCAGGCCTGTAACTACTGAGAAACTGCCGTTCCACACCTGCAGGGGGCAGCACATCAACAGGCAGTTTAAAAACCCGAAAGGCCAACGGAGGATTCTTTCAGATAACTTAAGATATATTTAAAAGCTTTTGAAGAAACGTGTCTCACCATGAAAGCTGGTATAACAGGCTGCTGAAACTTGGTTTTGAAGGTGTGCATCAGCAGTTTAGTTTTGGCGTTGTAGAAAGACAATACACCTGGAGAGAATAAAGAAGCACACGTGTTCTATATTAGAAAAGTGGGGCTGCAAGTAACATTTTCATTGTTGATTAATACGTCAATTAACTAAATGATCAATTAATAATTTAGTTTATAAAATTCATTAAAAGTACACACAGTGATCTCTTCAAATTGCTTGTTTTGTTAGATCAACAGTCCAAAATCCAAAGATATTTCATTTACAGTATAAAATACAGAAAAGTAGCAGTTATCTCTTTTCAGTGATGTTCCATCTGTTGCCTGATTTTATATTGTTTAGTCTGCAATGTTTTATGCTGCCATCTTGAAAGGGTTCTTCCAATGTTTCTAACCTCAAACAGATTTGCCAGGTTTATAATAATATTAGATAAACACCTTGGAAGATGGGGCCATGGATTGTTTGGTCTTATGCTTGATAAATGAATAAAAGTCAGTTTATTTTTACTATCGGTTTCAAACACTGATTAATTTCTGTCTATTTACTAATCATAGAATTGACTTATTATTTCAGAGTTTGAGAACATTTCACAGTGATACTACCTGTGATCATTCAAACACTGACTCTGACACTGTGTGTATGTGTTCATCGTACCTTCGTCGTAGTTGACGTAGACTCCTATACTGTTTGGGATGGGACAGTCCAGTGTTCGAGCCTTGTTGTTGTGCTTTGCCGTGAGGCTCTGCTGCAGCCAGTTGTTCAGATGGATGCACCAGGAGGCGCTGCTTTTCCCCAACTGGTCGAATCGTCCGAGACTCCGCAGGGCAACACCCACAGCGAAGGCTTTGCTCTCCTTGTCAAACCGCACCTCCCAGTACTGCTGGCCAGCGTCGATCATGGTATCAGCTGTGGTGAGGTAAAAGCCCAGGTAATCAGTTTCAAGAATAACAGTGTCAACGCAATCTGCAGTGTTGATCAATCTTTTTTGATTAATCGATTAGTTGTTCGGTCTATAAAATGTCACAAAATGGTGAACGTCTTTCCTAAAGCTCAAATGTCTTGTTTTGTCCACAACCCAAAGATTTTCAGTTTACTGTCATAGAGGAGTAAAGAAGTTTAAAAACAATTAAAAAGCTAGAATCAGAGAATTTTGACTTTATTTTTCTTTAAAAAATTACCCAAACCAATGAATCGCTTATCAAAATAGTTGGCGATTTATTTAATAGTTGACACCTTATCGATCAGTCGTTGCAGCTCTAGTTACAAAACATGTTTTGCTTATAAATGCTTGAGACAATCTGAGTTAACGTGGTACAACTGGGAGTTCTATTCTGTGCTGTTTGACAGGAGAACTGTCAAATGGAAATCATGAATTGGGTTAGGAATTCAGGAGATTGTTGAAATAGCAACAATTAAAAATTATTTTTATTATTAATATTACTTCCTGTGTACTCAAGAGGGTGACATTCATCTTGGAAGGCTAGCTAACTAGTGTCCCTGGGCGGCTACTGGCTAGTGTAGCAAGGCCAGCTAAGCTGAGAAACTAGCCCACAAACTCAGTAAAGTTAGATGCACTGCCAGTGCACAAGGGTTCTTATCTCGTCTTTGTTTTGCTGCACTCACTGAGGTTTAACCTCAAGCAGTGAAATAATTTTTGCTTCCAAAACAGCTCGGTTTCAAATAACTGTGCAGCTCTAACTCCAGTCTGTGTGTGTTTTGCTCCTAGAGATGTAGAAAGGGGTCACTCCTGTGTTCCCAGGGTCCTATGTTCCCTGGATTTATATGCCTCATAATTGAAACATGACAAATGGTTCTGGGTTCCCAGGGTCTTCACATAAAAGATTAAGAAGCATTAAGACCACAACATCCAGGTTGATCCTCAAGCTTGCATCTATGTTCCCCAGCTCCAGGATTAGGGGTTCAGAACCCTGGGAACACAGATATGCTCCCATAAAGAAACACAGTTGTTGTGCTTTGCTGTTTGTTACCAGTGTCTGTGTCTTCTTACCCAGAACTGTGTAGGACTCTGCTGTAAATCTGTCCCTGCCGGGCCGGGATGCCGGCGCTCTCTTAGGCGACATCAGGGCCGACCTGATTAAAGATGGTAGACAACAATCACTCAATAGAGAACCAGTCTATTTTTTAGACCCCTGGCAATAGTCAAAGTCCAGGTTTAAAGACACTGCAAGTTTACATTCGTACACACCTGGCTGGAGAGTGCATCGGGGAGTTAATTCGATTCTTTTCCTTGCGGATTTCCTGTATCTTTCCTCCACCGCTGTCCCACTCCACACTCAGGTCCTCCACTTTCAGGTTCTGGTGGGACGAGGCAGCGTCCAGTTTGAAGGTGAAGGCTGCAAACAGAAAATTATATATGTGAAACACAATCCAATATTCACATTCCCATCAACAGAGACAGACATTTCATGCACTGTTGACCAAAGCTTAAACAAAATACCAACAACACATAGACCTATAGTTCTCACCGTGGGTTTCTAGTGTAACCGGCTCAGAGAACTCTCCCGCCACGGCCTTGTTACACGCTCTCACTCTGAACGTCATGTACCGAGTGTCAAAGCGCAAACCTGAGAGTGAAAACAACAAGTGTCCTTTAGCAGTCAGCTTCATCAGCGTCCATCCAACATATAACTCCTCACAGTCCTACCTGTGAGTGTGTGCTCCATCTCTCGTATGCCCTCCACCACCATCCAGGGGTAGTCCTCCCTGATGCGCGGTGGACCCTCGTGGTTTGTGCGTCGATGCTCCAGTATGTAGTGGTCTATCTTGCTGTCAGGTTCCGGTAAGGTCCAAACAACACTCACCGTGTTGTCGCACACCTGGCACTCTGAGACCAGGATCTCTGGAGTGGGGGGAACTGGAGAGAAGAGACAGTGTGTCCACAAGGAATATCTAAAGTCATAGTTCCTCTTCTCTTGTTCATCACTTTCAATGTTATTTCACTACAGAAGCGGCTGCGGTGTCAAACATTCAATAACAAGAGGTGAGCAGATTTTAAAGTTATTTTAAAACTCAAGTTTTTAAAGTGTCATGAAGTGAGCTGTCACATGGGGATAATTTTACAACTGCATCAACTGATTTTTGCCACTTGGGGGCAGAATTACCCTAAAACAAGCTAACAGGTACACCACCTAGCATCAATGGTGTTAGAAACAATTGTATATTCACACATCAATCAGCAACATTATCATTCATTTCATGTCTGTGTTCAAATAACAAATTTAAGTCCAGTTTTCACTCTCCATTTATCTCCGTTTGGTTCTCTGGAGGTAAATATCAGGCTCTTTAGCTGCTAAAGGTTCAACTATTATCGGCAGCTAGCCGCTCACTTATGTCAGCT